TGGAATGAGTGAGTTTCAATAGGAGATATCTCCTGCCTCTCACCTACTTCTCTCTGACTGCTTTTGGACTGTTGTCTTAACTTCTGCATGGGCTTTGTCTGTGGAACTGATACTGAAACCCACTGTTGTCTGTCTATATTACCACATCCCTTAAAGAAAGGCATAATAAGCATTCAGGTGGGCCTGCATGTATCTACATTTCTGAGAATTAGCATCAGAAAGCAAATTCCCTTATCTCCTACACATTCCCTGCTAAGTCTCTTCAAAGAACCCTTAACCCCCTGCTGACTATGCTCACTCACCTGAAAAAAATGAATCCCTGTTCACTTCCCTTTTTTTTTTTTTACATGATGACTTTCTACAAATGGTGCAGTTTTTTATTATCATATGTAGAACATTTTATAAAATATTTTTTCAAAAATAAATTCTTATTCAAAGAATTTCACACGTCATTTCTTCCACTACTCCCTTTTATCAGTGGTCATAGATTTGAAAATAGAGCACCCATGCAACCATAAGCGTTGTAATTTACATAACTTTTGTGTGTTATAACTACTAATCAACAATATGTTGCAGTGAATCATGTTTTACTTTGTAATAGGCTCTGTTAACTCCCTTACTCTATGGCAAGCTTATTCAACTCCTCCAGTTTGGTATTACTGATAACACTGTGAGCTACCTTTTGGTAGCTGGAGCCAGAAAACGTGGACCATAAATGTTACTGTTAACAAGATGTGACTGTAACTTGAGTTCTATACAATGCCCTGTCAGTCACGTAGTCAATCTATAGATACCAGCAACCCTAAACTTATAAAAACGGATTGTAGAACCTAAGGGGTGAGCACACTGGTTCCAGAAATGCCAGGAGTCAGGTTCTGTCTCCCTGAATTCTGAATTCAGAAATAAACTTCTTTCTGTCAGTTCCCTGCCTCTGGATTTAGTGGCCTTGAGAGATAGCAGCCGAGTGTTTACTCAGACCGTAACAGAACTAGTAAGACATAAGGGTAAAACCCCTGGCAGCCAAGCAACTGCCTACATGCATGATTTGACTCTCTCTCACAAGCAGTGTGATTTGGGACAAGTCACTTAGCCTCTCTGAATTTTCATTTCTTTGCTCTTGAAATGGTGAAAGGCTGCCTGCCTACCCCACAGGGTTGCTGTGAATGCCAGAGCTTTCCATGTATGACTAGCTCATTTAAATCTCAGATCGACTTAGTGAGATGTATATGAACTTGTATTACTGAACTTATTTTACAGACGAGAGAGCTGAGGTGCGCCAAAAGGGTGAGTGAATTACCTTCCAGCCAGTAAACAATAAAGCCAGGCTTTGAACCCAAGTATTTTAATTCTGAGGCCTGAGCTTTTCTATATTCTACTGACACAAAATAAATGTTTTGATGACTGACTGGACCCATGAAAAAGATTTGGACTGAGGTACAACTTTGGTTTCCAGACTGTTTTTTTTCTTAACTGCTAATTCATGTGGCATTCCCATTTCCCAGGTGTTATGCCATGCCCACCCCTTCAACTCCAACAGACAGAAATTCCTGCCTTCCAAAAGAAAAAGGTAGTCAGGCATTTCTCTAACTCCCCCTCCTGCATAAGGACTAACTCCATCATCTGTCCCCTGAGATTTGCATTGTGCGTTCTAACCAAGACCAGATGGTTTTCTCAAGTTCAGTCCTCACACTTAGCAAAGTATTTGTAGTTATTTACTAAAAGAAACTCTGGACTTAACTGCAAACACTGGATCCCCAAATAACTTACTCCAGGCTCTCCTGCCTTGTTTGTGTTATGGCCTTTCTGTGCTAATGAGTTTGTAAATGTGGTTTAATTACTGTTTACCGAAAAATAGCTGCACACACATCAGTCTCAGTGGGAGACTTAGCCAAAATGTTGAGACAATTTGTTTCTAGTGCAAAAACAGCTAATAAATGAGAAGTGCTTTTTCAACACTGGGAAAAGAACTTAAGTTTGGTTTTGAGGAAACAGTGTTTTTATACATCCAGGGAATAAATCATTCTTTAAGGGGGTAGAGTTAAATAGCAAAATGATATTTTTTCCCCCAAGCCCAGGCACACGGTGACACATAACCAAACCATAAGAATGGTGATTTGATTGAAAACCACACCAAAGAGCTATATTCTAAAGAACTCCCCAAAAGGAAAACTTGAAATTACTTGTAAATTCCAGAAAATGTTTCAGAGCCCTATAAACCCATGTATTCTGTATTACCTCATGTTTCTGAATTCTGGCCTCAGGCAAATAGCCAATTTAGCAACTAAATGACAGTTTTAAAATTCTAATACAAACCAACCTCTCTAACATTGTTTTTTTTTTTTTTTTTTAATCTCCAGGGAGAAAAAAAGGGATACAGTGGGAAGAGAAAGATACTGGAATATTCAATTTATAAATTTTCCTTGTAATTCTACAGGAGTTGTAGTTTCATTTTACTTTTTGTTGTTTGCTTGGTTCTGTATAAAGGGAGAACTCTGAAAAGTAATTTCTTCCTACAGCTCTTGGCCATGCTTGTAGGAAGAGGTCCCTACCCTTCAGGACGCCTGTATGTGAGCAGGGCAGAAGCAGGTTCTGCATCCAATGCAGAACTTGGAAAACAAAATTAGTTAGCTTGCCGGGCTCGGTGACTCAGCCTGTAATCCCGCGCGTTGGGAGGCTGAGGTGAGTGGATTGCCTGAGCCCGCGGGTTCAAGACCCGCCCGGGCAACTTGGCTAGACCTCATCTCTACAGTAAATCAAAAATTAGCCGGGCGTGGTAGCACTCGCCTGTAGCTCCAGCTACTTGGAAGGCTGAGGCAGAAGGATCGCTGGAGCCCAGCAGGTCGAGGCTGTGGTGGCTGGGAGCGGCCACTGCATTACAGTCTGGGCGACAGAGACTCCAACTCAAAAAAAAAAAAATTAGTCAGCTTGGCAGGTAGTAAGGATTGTTTGTCATTGCCTGAACTATGGACGTTACAAAAGAAGCTTGAACTGTGTGAGATACAAGCACTGCCCTGTAGGAATGTATTTGTAGGGAGGCCATCAGACAGGCAATTCAGTGCTAGTGATTCTAAGACCAAGTCTATTACCAGATAGCTTTTAGTGTGTCAAATAGCATTCTGACAACCAGGCCCTTGTGCTTCTGGCAAAAGACCCTTTTTCCAAGATGATCTATATTTCCAGGTTGAAGTTACCTTTCTATTAGTCCTTTTTTTATTCATTCGTTTATTACATTCATTTTTTCACCAAATGCCATTTGTGGTGGGCCCTACTAGCAAGACAGGGCAACCCCAGTGGAGACTTTGCCTCAAGGGGCTGACCATGTTGCAGAGAGGAGACAGACAAAAACAAACACCACAATGGGTACAATCGCAAAGAAAACTGGCAATCATGATTAAAATGGGGATATATTGTCTTCCAGATATTCTGTAATTTTCCAAGCTTTACTTTTAAGATTTTTTTCCAATAGAGGAAAAATATGAAATACAAGTGCAGAGCCCCTTTATTGACTACATTTATTTATTTATTTATTTATTTATTTATTTTTTTGAGTGGAAGTCTCACTCTGTCACCCAGACTGGAGTGCAGTGGCCGCTTCCGGCCACCGCAGCCTCGACCTGCTGGGCTCTGGCGATCCTTCCGCCTCAGCCTTCCGAGTAGCCGGTATTGACTACATTTAAATCATATGACTTCAGAATTAGGAACTAAGCTCAGATATCACCTCCTCCAAGAAGGCGTCTCTGATAGCATCCATGCCCCTTTGGGCATAAGGATACTTTCTAGGTCCTCTCACTGCATTATTGTCTATTCTGGATACATGTGAAGCATATCTATTGTACTGTCCCCTCACTGTCACCACCCTTTGCACACATAGCTGGATGCCTTAGGAAGGAGGAGCCATAGCTTCTTCTGCATCTATAGCAGCAGAAACATTCCTGGTAATGTTGTTCAGTAGATGGCTATGAATGACTTTGAGAATGGGAAGATGGTAATGACAGATATTCCCCTAGCTGGTAAAAACCATCTGTATTCCGCATGCCACAGTAAATTAAAAAAAAAAAGATAACAAAGAGGTGTGCGTTCCTGTTCTTTAAAATGTAAATATATTAAAACATATATTAAGATCATATTTAAATGAGTACACATACAAAAAAATCTAGAACACTCACCAAAATGCTGGCAGTGCTTATCTCTAAAGGGAAGGATTTGAAATGATGCTGACTTGTTTCTTTATGCACCACCATGTTGTTTTACTGTTTTCCCCTGGATGTGTGCCACTGCTATGAAAAGAAAATCCAGTTATTTGCATTTTAAAAGGGAAAGTTTGGCCAATTTCATAAGCCACAATCATCTCTACCGTCTAAACCCACCGTTGTCTGTGATTTACCCTGTGAGTTTAAATAACTGAATGAGCTTGGTGGCATTTAGCAGTATCTGATGGGCTTGCTTCCATTTTCCTTCCTCATGTCTGTGTTTATGATACTCAGAAGGTACCCAAGCAATGCTTCTCTTGGAGGGATTCTAGCAATAAAACATACCCAATTCTCTCTTTTGGTTTATTTCTCTTCCTTTCCTTTTTCCTGCTAATACTTGGATTCGGTATTAGGACCCCAGCCGTTTTAAATCCAGGCTCAACCACTTGCAAACTGATAAGCCAGAATTAAGTAACCAATTAATTCTTCCTCCCTTCCTCTCCCTCCTCCCCCTGCCCCTTCTTCTTCCTCTCCCTCTTCCTGAAACTTTTGCTTTCAGGTTGGCCCTCTATAAAAGAAATAACCATTTTCTGGTCAGTGATATTTCTGTCCTGCATTTTCTACCACCTGTCTTTCTATTATCTTGTTTGGCTGATTGTTATGTGGTAAAACCTAGACAATATTATTGGAGTCATATAGTGTATTTGCTTTTTTTCCCCCTTTTTCCTGAAGGAATAATCACACATTATAACATGTGGCCCTAAAGAACAGCTCTAAGAATTCTGTATGTTTTCTTTTATCTATCTGCAGCTGAATCCTTGTTGCCAGGATGGGAAAACAGAACAGCAAGCTGCGCCCGGAGGTCATGCAGGACTTGCTGGAAAGCACAGACTTTACGGAGCACGAGATCCAGGAATGGTATAAAGGCTTCTTGAGAGACTGCCCCAGTGGACATTTGTCAATGGAAGAGTTTAAGAAAATCTATGGGAACTTTTTCCCTTATGGGGACGCTTCCAAATTCGCAGAGCATGTCTTCCGCACCTTTGATGCCAACGGAGACGGGACAATAGACTTTAGAGAATTCATCATCGCCCTGAGTGTGACTTCGAGGGGGAAGCTGGAGCAGAAGCTGAAATGGGCCTTCAGCATGTATGACCTGGACGGCAACGGCTACATCAGCAAGGCAGAGATGCTAGAAATCGTGCAGGTACAGAGCCTGAGCCCTTTAGAAAGGCATGAGCATGTGTCACAAGTGAAGCCTGAAAGCCACACAGGATAGCATAGTGCAGAGGTTGCAAACTGGTGGGTCACCTGCGCGCTTTATTTGGCCCACCCAGTGTTTACAAAGTTTGAACTCGCATTGCATTAGAGGGAGATTGCACTTAAAAATTCACATGGGTGGGCTGAGTTTGGTGGCTCACATCTGTAATCTCAGCACCAAAGTGGAAGTTTGAGACCAGCCTAGATGACACAGAGAGACCTCATTTCTAAAAAAAAAAAAAAAAGCTGGGTGTTGGTGATGCATGCCTGTAGTCCCAGCTACTTAGGAGGCTAACGCAGAAGGGTCACTGAAGCCCAGGAAATTGATGCTGCAGTGAGCTGTGATCACACCACTGCACTCCAGGCTAGGTGACAGAGTGAGTTCTCGACTTAAAAAAAAAAAATCCACATTGGTGGCATCTTTTGAAAACTCAGAAGCTCTGCCTATTATGACTTACTTGGTGCTGTGTGATGACCCCCACTACTACAGGTGGAGACATGCTCTTCAGTAGGCCACGCTCATTGTGGCTACTCCATTGACTCACTGCAGTGACCTACCTGGACCTGAAGCCTTTGGGCTTATATCCCTTGGAGTGGGGTTTCATGATCAACCTCTGGCCTGGGTTTAAATTTGGCATTTTTCAGTTACTACCTCTGTGACTTTGACCAAGTTAGTCCACCTAAATAATCCTCAGTGTCCTCATCTATAAAATGAGACTGCTGGTGGTACCCACCCAGGTCATGAGGTTATTATTATTATTTTAGAAAGCAGGATTTTTTGAGAGAACAGAAAAGCTCCACAGTGGGAGGGAATCCTAGGGGGTTGCCCGTCATGATTTTAAGATTAAGTGTGACTCTCCATGTAAAATGCTTAGCACAGTGCCAGCTGCATCAAAAGCTCATCATTATCAGCATCATTAATTTACAAAGTGATTAGACTCTCAATAAGAGCAGGGATCTGAACTCCTGCTCTATCCCATCAGAGACACAAGCACTGTGGAATCTTTTAGGTAAGAGGCACTCCATTTTATTTCTCCCAAATTACTCACCCAGAGTAAGTTTCCTGTACAGGACAGGAGAAGGGGCTCTAATGTAGATTACATTTTCTTTGTGGGGTCCCATCAAATTTGGGAAGGTGGGTAAGCCTAGTAAAGAGCTAGGGTTATGGCATGGTGAGCTGGCTCAGCAGTAGATGGGACCCAGAAACAAACCTAAGGAGACAGAGACAGGACTCAGGAGAGGACCAAGAGGGCCTCAGCTGCAGGCAACAAGAAGGGCTAGGTGAGTGGGCAGCACCAGAGAAGCCGGCAGTTGCTCTCTGTCTTGGCAGGCGAGTGGGGCATGGTAGGGAAGCATCTCACAGCAAACAGCAGGTCCAAGAGAGTGAGCCTCGGCTTCCTGGAGGGCTCATCTCAGAGGTCAACACTCATCCATGTAGATGTCTCGCAGAGGTAGAACTGCAGGGGTGCTGGATGAGTGGGGGACAAAGCAAAGAGGCAAAAAGAACTCAACTATTGAGGATAAGGATGGGACTGCCTCCAAGAAAACACAGGTGACCTGGCTATGGAAATAGAGACAGAGCTCAAAAGAGAGTCTTGGAGCTAAGGCCCGTATTTTCCTTCAGGCCAGTGGGACCGCACTTGCAGGGGCAGTAATGTGGCAACTGCAAATGTTGGCAGGATGCAGAAGCAGGGTTCCCAAATGACCCCTCCGACTTACTGGGAACTCTCCATGGTCTGCTACTGCTTCTCCTTTCTGGATGGGCCGCCAGAGGCTTTTTCCTCACCCAGAGCAGTAACTATCTGAATAAACTGTGATAAATTAATCCTTCAAAGGTGTGAATCACAAAACAAAAATAAAGGACCTCTCTCCTCTCCTGAAAATAAACTTATGAAAAACATAATGTCTACTATGCATTTATGGGCAGTATAGAAAGATATAAAAGATAAAGAGAAAAATTATCTATAATTCCACCTACTGACAAAGAGATTCACTGCTAACAATTTTTAAATACATCTTTCCATGCATTTAAAAATATCCAACAGGTTTCACCTCATATATGAGGTTTTCTACCTTGCCATTTTCACTTAACATAATAACACAGGTGTTTCTCATGTTAGAAAAACTTTCCATAAAGATTTTTAATGGCTGCATAATAGTCCTACAATATATTATAAATTACTTAATTTTCCCCATTGTTAGATACTTAGGCTGCTTCCTATTTTTATTATTATACATAACTTTAAAAAATAAAGTAACAAATCAATACTCCTTGTGCATAAAGTTTTTTTCTGTATTTAGTATTATTCCTTCAGAATGTATTCCCAGAAGGGTAGTTATTGGGCCAAAGGGTATGAGCTTTGAAACACTCTGCTACACTCTGCCAAATTATTTTGCCAAATGTGCTCCCACACTGTGTAAAGGGTGTTTCCATATCCCACAGTATGTAACGGGTGTTTCTTCTTATTTTTCTTAATCTTTACTAATTAAACAAAAATTAGAATTAAATTAAAATTTAAAAGTTGATACATTTTATTTTATTCTTAGAGATGGGGTCTCATTCTGTCACTCCGGCTGGAACAATCTTGGCTCACTGCATCTTCCACCCCCTGGGCTCAAGTGATCCTCCCACCTCAGCCTCCTGAGTAGCTGGGACTACAGGTGTGCACCACCACACCTGGCTAATTTTTCAATTTTTTTTTTGAGATGAGGTTTTGCTATGCTGCTGAGGTTATGGTGATTCATTTTAATTAGCTTTATTTTGTGTTCTTTTTAAAAATTTTTTTAGTTGGAGTCTCACTCTGTCACCCAGACTGGAGTGCAGCGGCACACTGCCGGTCACTGCAACCTCAACCTGCTGGGCTCTGGCGATCCTTCCGCCTCAGCCTTCCAAGTAGCTGGAACTACAGGTGCGCGCTACCACGCCTGGCTAATTTTTTGATTTATTGTAGAAATGAGGTCTCGCCAAGTTGCCCAGGCGGGTCTCAAACCCGCGGGCTCAGGCAATCCACTCACCTCAGCCTCCCAAAGCACGGGATTACAGGCTGAGCCACCAAGCCTGGCTTCTTTTTTTTTTTAAATCTGGGAGTATAGTGCCCACCCCTGTGTCATGAGAGGGACGGGTATGTTCTTTTTATGAAGGTAATTGTTCTTTCTTACTAGAACCTAAAAAAAAAAAACAAAAAAAGTCTCACTAGCTACTCTGTTATCTCTTGTTTGACACTTTTGCTCAGTGGTCCTGGCAGTGGTCAGTGGTTTATCAGTATTGATGATGATGCAGATGCCAGGGCAGGGAGGAACCTTCAGACCACCTGGGCTTATGGAAATCAAGAAATCAAGAATCCCTACTAAGAAGCTGGCTTTGGGGACAAATAGAGTAGGGGGGAGGACAGACACTGCCCTATGTGGTGGAATCCAGTCTGTAAGAGAGAGTGGGAAAATTGTAGAGAACTTACAGAAGGCACTATAGATGTCCCTCAGCCCCCGCAGACTGCTACACTTGTTACATGATGTACAAAGTGATCATGAAAAGGAAGTGCCTCCGCTTGACAGAGGCATTTTCCTCACTGTAAAGTACCTCTCAGTCCATTCACAGGCACACAGTAAGTTCCCAGGTCCTAACTCTAAGGACACATGTTTATTGAGAAATGTTTATAGACGCATGGCTCTTAAGAAGCCTGCAAATGAAAGACTCGAGTTTCCTAAACTGTTTTCAACAGCCCGAAACCAGTTTCCTAAACTTTTTCAACAGCCCAAAACCCTGATGGGTAATATTCATGACCACAGAAAGAAAATATTGTAGCACCCTGAGGCGACTTCCAAATCATCAGAGATTAAATTATATTTAGAACTATCTTTTTATTTAGGGTTGGGTTATTCTATTCTTCTACTTTGCAAACTAATAATTCATGTATTCTGTCACATTCTTATGCTAATCTTCCGGCTTCCAATTATTCTGGATGAACTGGAACTTTCTGTAGAATGTTGCTGAACTCCCCGTTCCATTTTTTTCCCCTCCCTCTTTGGAAACCCATACTTCTCAGACCTTGTCACTGTCATAGGAAGCTCTGAGCCTTTGTGGGGACCCTGTTTACTTTGTTCTGGTGGTCTGCTGCGCGTAGAACACTCATGTGCTTTACAGGAGTCACTGTCTATTCAGTTTCTGTTTTGTGCCTGGATAAATATTGGTTAGAAAGTGATCTGGGCAGAGGTGAGCTTGGACCAGGAGGACCTCAAACAAGTCATGGTCCCTTTTGTGAATATGAATAGCACTTGTAGCTTGATAACAACTGTTGATCCATAAATTCTTAGCTGAACCCTTATCCCTTACAAGACTCATAGATTCAAACAATTTAATGAAAAATGTAAATTCATGGTTGTTCACCTACAAACATGAATAACCGGTCAGTGTAAAGATTGGGATGAAAACAAGTTTGTAATTAGTCTTGGTGAAGAACAGAGTGTGGGACTTTAATTCAACCATTTTCCAGTTCTTCTTCCCTGATGTTGTTTCCTGTGGTTTAGCTTTGGTATCCACAGAATATAATTTGTGGTGACAAGCTGGAATTCTTTTGTATTTCCTAACATTGGTAGAAAGGACTAAAATTTATGGGACTACTGTGGTTTCTGCATAGTGCTGAAAGACACCATATTCTCTCCCTGTAACAAAGTACCAGAAACTTAATGCCTTAAAGCAACACAAGTTTATTATCTTACAGTTCTGGAGGTCAGAAGTCTGAAATCAGTTTCGCCAGCTAAGATTAAGGTTCTTTTGGGCACTGTATTCCTTCTGGAGGCTTTTGAGGGGAATCCTTTTCTATGTCTTTTCCAGCTTCTTTTTTCTTTTTCTTTTTTTTTTTTTTTTTGAGCTGGAGTTTTACTCTGTCACCCAGGCTGGAGTGCAATTGCATACTCCCAGCCACTGCAACCTCAACCTGCTGGGCTCAG